GCAAACATCACAGGGACCTCTCCCAAGCCCGCACCCAAAGACCCAAGGGGACATGTTATTTCTGAACACCCTCAACTCCTCAGGCGGGCCTGACTGCCTGCAACAGCAGGAACAGAAGGGCCCTGTGCCAGCACAGACAGGCTCTGTTGTGTGCGTTTGCTATCAGGGTTTGGGGGCCTTGTGGGGAATCAAGATCCTTGGGGAGGCCCAACTTTACCTATCATTATAAAGGGTGACTGGACCAGGCAGCCCTAGCCCCTGGACCACCCAACTCCCTGACCCAGCACCAGCGGTCTAATTGCTCCCTAAGCCCCCAGTGTCAAGGTCAGGGCAGTGGTGGGGGTGGGGAGAGCACAGATGGCAAAGCCCAAGGGGTCCCTGACCTGAGTTACTCCCCAACAAAATGGGTTTCCCCTAACCTCTGTGTTTTCTATGAGGAATGTCATGGTCTCTAAGGGCTGCCCACAGACCCCTTCCTTCCTCCCTGGGAGACACGAGTGATCCCTGGATCCTCCTACTGCACCGCCTCTGGAAATCCCTGTTCTCCAATCAGGTGGAGACCACTGCGGGGTGAAAGGGAGAAAGACAGAGAGCAGCTTCTTTTACAATAAACTCTATATTGCGTTCACATGGAGACCTGGAGATGTGCCGACTTCCGGTCCCCGAAGTCGATCTTCGCGGCCAAGGAGATTGAGGATTTCAGGACTCAGAGTTACCGCAGGAATCGAGGTGACACCAGCCAGAGAGGGGGAGGAGGGGAAAAGGAGGGGATGGGTTTAAAAGGCAGTGGTGAGGTGAGAGGGGAGGGAGATTGAAGGGAGTGAGGAGGAGGGGGACGGAGGGGGCTGCCTTTCCTTGGGGACTGGGGAATCCATGCCCTGAACCACCCACGGGGCTCCAGGGGTGAGAGAAAGGGGTGGAGAATGGAGAATCGGGTAGGGGGTGATGAGGGGAAACAGCAGTTGGGGTATTTAGGGCTGGGGGAGTGGAGGCAGAACCGATGAATGGACAGGCTCAGAAGGGGAGAAGATACAAGGAATGAGAGCAAGAGAAACGGGGAATTGGGCAACGGGGTGATGGGGGGAACAGCAGCTGGGGTACCCTAAGACACAGAGGCTATCTATACCTTGCTAGGGACCGGGATGTGAGGAGAGGAGGGAGGATTTAGGGCTGCGGGACTGGGGGGCAGGATGGATGAAGGAATGGTGTCAGAAGGAGAGGACATCTAAGGAATGAGAGCAAGAGACACAGCAGGGAGTTCGATCAGGAGAGGACAGGAGATGGGATGGGCTGCAGGCTGCCTCCAGGTTCAAAGTAAGAAACAGGCAGTAGGGAATTGAGAGAAAATAGGAACCAGGGCCGGAGACCAGGCGAAGGACATGAGGATTGGAGAATCGGAGAGAGGCAACATGAGGGCTGAGACGGGAGGGCAGAGTAGGACCGAGAATTGACGGAGTCCCTGTGGTTTACACAACAATGGTGTGAGATATCACACAGGAATATTGTACCCATTTTGCAGGTGAGGAAACTGAGACTCCTTACTGACTTGCCCAAGGTTCCGCAGTGGAAGAGCCTGCAGGTGAACTGCGTCTCCTGGTGGATTTCAGCCAAGTTGGAAAGACAAGGATGGGATTTGGGGGAACAGTCTCATTTTGCCCAAGAACAGCAGGAGCCTGGGCTGGCGGCGTCCTGGGGCCACCACTTGAAATGGACGCAGTGCAGAGCCTTGTGTCCCGGGCAGGGCAGAGGGGATGGTGACGGGGCCCGCAGGGCTCACACTGAGGACGAGGTCATCTCGGGTCTCTTGATGTGCACCTGTCACAGAGTCACAGTGAGGGAAGGGAAGGCGGAGCCACTGGTTTGGGCTGACACTGCTGATCCGAGCCCAGCCCCCTCCTTGCCCTGGTGGGGGTTGGGGAGGGAATCTGGAATGGAGGCTGGGAGAGTTCCTTGGGGTCCCCCTCTTTAGCCCCTCACCTTCATAGTGGTGTCCACGTTCTCCAAGGCCACACGGAAATTTTCATCCTTGTCTAGAGAGAGAGAGAGAGGGAGAGAGAAGAGGGGAGAAAGAGGAGGGGAGAGGGACGGGAGGGAAGGGAGAGGGGGACGGAGTAAATGCGAGGAAGGCAGGAAGGGCGTCTGTCCTCGCAGTGTCCTCAATGATGCCCAGGAAAGCCCCTGCCTGCTTCTCCAGGAGGTGGGACTCACCTGTTCCGTCGACCTCGAAACCCCAGTTTGAAAAAGTGCCCACGACTTCCTCATCCCAGGTCTCGAACCATTTCCTGTCCTGGTCCCAGGACCTAGGTGGGGCCGCCGCGCGGTCAGACACAGCCGGCCCGCCTGGGGCCCCTCGGCCGCCCTCGCACCCCGGCCCCATCTTCCGCGCGCTCACCGGTCTAGGCACTGGCAGCTCCACAGTCCGGAGCGCACCGCCCAGACACCCAGCGCTAGTAGCAGCAGCAGCAGCAGCGCGGCGCCCGCCGTCAGGCCTCCGACCAGCGCCCTCCAGTGGATGGCCACCTCACAGCGCGGGCCGGAGAACCAGTGAGTGTCCGTGGAGTAGCAGCTACGGGAGATCGCAGAGTCAGACCCTCTTCACCTCCGGACTCGGGGGTCCACACGTGCACCTGGGTCCCGCGGGGCGGGTGGGGCGAAGGGTCGGGGCCCCAGCCTAAGGCAGCTGGGGCTTCCACCCTAGGGCAATCGGGGGCGTTCCACCCTAGACAAGGGGCCGGGAATCCACCCTAGAAGGAGGGGGCTGGGCTCCACCCTAGAACAACGGGGTGAGGTTCCGCCCTAGAAAAAGGGGGCGGGACTCCACCCTAGGCAAGTGGCGGGATTCCACCCCAGATCAAGTGGGTAAGGCTCCACCAAAGGAGGGGGTGGGGTTCAACCCTAGAACGAGGGGACAGGGCCCCACCCTAGAATGAGTGGTCCCAGAACTAGGGGACGGGACTCAACCCTATCAAGGGGGCGGGGCAAAGAAGCAGAGGTCCAGGGCAAGGCTCCACCTTAGGGCAAGGGGAATGGGCTTGGAGCGGGACTCTGGGGACCAGGTTCCACCGTAGGGCCTGGGGGCGGAGCTGGGGCGAAGCATGGGGCGGGGCTTCATCCTAGAATGGGTGGGCGGGGCTCGGCTGATGCTGATGGTCAGCGGTGCCTTACCGACAGGCGGGACCGCTCCTCTCCAGAACGCACTGGCCCTGGTGACAGTCGATGGCGTCGTCCACGCCCGACGTGCATTTGGTGACACAGCGGAGCCGGGTGGCCTCCACCAAGGGGAAGTAGAACTCCTCATAGCCCGCGGGAGCGGCGCGGCGGCAGAGGGCTGAGGGGTTGGGGAGGGGGTTGCACAGAGACAAGGACCTCATCCATTCTATTCAGGGGCCTGATAATGGTGCCTCTGAAAATGCGGGAGGAGGATTCCATTTCGGAGGTGGGATGCCGTGGGGTAGACCCTGGGATTCGATGAGGGGAGTCCAGCACCACCACCCTCACCCTCTCCTCGCGGCCCCTGCTGTCCTCAGGTGGAAGCCACTAATCAGCGCCAGGAAGGGCCGCCCTGGGCCATGTCGCTTGCCTCCGCCAAAGGTCTCTCCCTGCCCCCGGCTTCAATGGGCAAATGTCCCTGGTGGCTGGGATCAGAGCCACGGGACAGCGACCACTCAACCCTTTACCCCACCCTCACCTTTCGGGGTCAGCTCTGTCCTGCTGTTGTTGTTCACCTTGATGGAGTCAGGCTTAAAACACAGGGCTGTGGGAACACAGGCACAGATGGAATGGGAGGGGGAGGTCAAGGGGTTAAGGTCAAGGGGTTAGGACCAGGAAGCAGGACAGGCACAGGGAGGGCAGTGAGGGCTGTCTCTGTCTGGGGGAGTGTGGAGGGGCCACAAGGGAAGACTCCTGTTCCCTCCCTGTGTGGACTCATTCCCCTTCTCCCAACCTGCCAGAGGTACCATAGGGTTGGCACCCGAGCCCAGAGGGCCCCTGGCCCAGCTGGAGTGGGCTGGGGTGGCGGCTCAGGCCCTGGCCCCTCCCTCCAGCCGGGGCTCACTCTGGGAGTCCTGGCAGCTGTCTGCATCCTGGCTGGCATTCTGCAGCGCCTCCTTCAGCGTCATCTTCGCCTGCTCGTACTGGCTCTCCAGCTGGGCGCTGAAGGGCAGCTCCAGCAGGACCAGGTAGTCCACCACGATGCTGCCATTCCTGAGGGGTCCATGGCCTTAGAGAGTGCCCCAACCAGGGGCACATGGGTCCTTGGAGGAGCATTCCAGAAGCAACCCAAGGTGCCCCAGAAGCGGGAAAGGGGGCAGAGGTCCTGAGTCAGGATGCCACATGCATCCTTTTTAGAAGGGGCTGCCAGCATTCCTGACTTGGTCCGCCTGGGAAGGCAGGACAAGGAATAATTGACATGATTGACTTCCTGTCTCTGTGTGTTTTATAGAGACAAAGTCTGGCTCTGTCACCCAGGCTAGAGTGCAGTGGTATAATTATAGCTCACTGCAGCCTCCAACTCCTGGGCTAAAGTGATCCTTACTCTTCAGCCTCCCAAGTATCTGGGACTACAGGTGTGCACTACCACACCAGGCTAATCATTTTACTATTATTATTATTACTATTTTTATTATTGTAGAAATGGGTTCTCACTATGTTGCCCAGGCTAGTCTTGAACTGGTTTTAGGTGATCCACCTGCCTAGCCCTCCCAACGTGCTAAGATTGCAAGTGTGAGCCACCACATCTGGCCTGACATTCTCCTTGTGTTGCATCAAGCCATCATCCACTGGCTCCCCTGGACGCTCCCTCCCTCTCTCCCTCTCTCTCTTTCTCTCTTTCTAATGCTGACCCACCCAGTAGAGCAGGGGCCAGTCAGAGGGCAAAGAAGTCACCCATCCAGGCACCACCTTCCCACATGTCCCTGAAACTTCTCTCCTTCCAGTGTGCTGAAGAAGAGAGGTGCCACCCCTCCTCCAGAGAAATGGCCCCAGAAAACGATCTCAAAAAATACCCCAGGGAATGATTCCTTATGTAGCCCCTCCACCCCTCTCTTTATAAAATCTGATGATTACAAAAGAAAAGAATGGGTTTTTTCTGTGCACACATATCCCCCACCCAACACCGCCTCTGCGTCTCCAGATGGGCCTCCTACCTCAGGGACAGGATCTCCACACCCTTGAAGGTGAAGCCCCGCATGCCTGCAAAAATCTTCTGCATCTGAAACACCAAGGATTCCTGGGCTCACGTCCGAACCTGCAGACCTGAGGGCACCCAGATGCCCAATCCCAGTTCCAGGGGAGCACCCTTCAATTCCCCTCCCCGGCTGAGAGCCATGGTTCACACCTGTAATCCCAGCACTTTGGAAAGACAAAGTGGGCGGATCACAAGGTCAGGAGTTCGAGACCTGTCTGGTCAACATAGTGAAACCCCATCTCTACTAAAAATACAAAACATTAGCCGGGTGTGGTGGTGTGCACCTGTAATTCCAGCTATTCAGGAGGCTGAGGCAGGAGAATCACATGAACCCAAGAAGGGGAGGTTGCAGTGAGCCAAGATCATTCCACTGCACTCCAGCCAGGACAACAGTGTGAGACTCCATCTCAAAAAAAAAAAAAAAAAAAAAATCCCCTCTCCTTGCCCTTACCTGATTCCAGAAGGTCTTGTTGAAATCCCTGTAGGCCTGAGAAGTGTTGTCATTGAGGTCCGGCGAGAACTCCTGATCGACAGACACTTCCATGCCCACCTCAGTCTCCACTACATCTGCACACAGCATGCATGTCCCCGGTCACTTCTCCATCTGCTTCCATCTGAAGCCACCAACACCACCCCCTCCCCAACCCACAGGCTCCTCCTGCTGCTCCTCTCCAAGATCCCTGAGGACTGACGCCCACAGGCAGGAACACATGTAGGAATTCCAGGATGCATTGTGCCTCAGAAGGCTGAGGCAGTAGAATCACTTGAACCCAGGAGGCGGAGGTTGTAGTGAGCCAAGATTGCGTCACTGCACTCCAGCCTGGGCCACAGAGCGAGACTCTGTCTCTAGAAAATCAAAAACAAAGAGAGAGAGAGAGAGAGAGAGAAAGGGAGAAAGCATTGTGTGAAGATGAGAGAAAGAAGGAGAGAAAGAAAGGAAAGAAGGAAGGAAGGAAAGATAAAGAAAGAAGAAAGAAAGAAAAGAAAGGAAAGAAAAGAAAGAAAGGGAGGGAGGGAAGGAACGAAGGAAGGAAGGAGAAAGAAGAGAGAAAGAAAGAGAAAGAAAGAAAGAAGAAAGAAAGAAAAAAGAGAAAGAAAGAAAGAGAAAGAAAGAAAAGAGAAGAGAGAGACAGAAAGGAAGGAAAGAACGTGTGGTGATGAGGGAAAGCAGGCAGGAAGACAGCGGTCAGCCTGTGGTCCCTCCTGGTTGCTCCCATAGTGGGCGGGGGTCCATGTCGGAATCCCCAGAACTGTGAGTATGCTCACAGTCCAGGTCCGAATCCCCAGAACCATGATATGGCAAGGGAGGATGAAGGGTGCAGATTGAATTCCATTGCTAATCAGTCGAACTTTTTTTTTATTGTTGAGATAGGGTCTCATTCTGTCATCCAGGCTGGAGTGCAATGGTGGGATCGCAGCTCACTGCAACCTCGATTTCCCAGGCTCAAGTGATCCTCCCACCTCAGCCTCCCAAGTTACTGGGACCACAGGCATGAGCCACCATGCCCAGGTAATTTTTTAAAATTTTTTGTAGAGATGGGGTTCTCGCTGTGTTGCCCAGGATGGTCATGAACTCCTGGCCTCAACCGACCCTCCCTCCTCAGCCTTCCAAACTGCAGGGATAATAAGACAATCAGCTGATTTTTGTTTTCCTTTGAGACAGAGTCTCGCTCTCCCTCTGTCATCCAGGCTAGTGTGCAGTGGCTAAATCTCAGCTCACTGAAACATCCACATCCTGGATTCAAGCGATTCTCCTGCCTCAGTCTCCTGAGTAGTGAGGATTACAGGCACCTGCCACCATGCCCAACTAATTTTTGTATTTATAATAGAGACAGTTTCACCATGTTGGCCAGGCTGGTCTCGAACTCCTGACCTCAGGTGATCCTCCCGACCTCAGGTGATCCTCCCGCCTCAGCCTCCCAAAGTGCTAGGATTACAGGTGTGAGCCACCGCGCCCAGCCTAATCAACTGATCTTGAGAAAATTAACATAGACTATTTGGGGAGGAGGCAAAGTCAGCACAAGAGTCCTTAACAGTGGAAGAAGCAATAGAGAAGGCCAGAGTTCATCAGAGGGAGATGAGGCTATGGGAGAAAGACACAGAGAGGTGCAGCCTTGCTGGCTTGGAAGATGGAGCCAGGGACCCTGGCATACGCAATGTGGGAGGCTCCAGAAGCTGCAAAGGGCAAAAAAGACCCGTGATGGTCGGGGAGGGGTCACCCGCTTCCAAGGTGGGGATAGAGGCAGGTGCTGGTGTGCTATGACACCTGTGATTGCTTCTGTGCTCAGACATTGCGTGCAGAACAAAATGCTACTGGTGAGTGATGATAACGTATTACCGCCAGGGCCAGGAAGCGTTTGCCAGAAGTCACTGTATCGTGGGAGACTGAAGAAGTGATGGAGGAGTAGAAGTCATGGCTGTTGTGAGAGATTCTGTGGACATGTCAGTTGTAGGAGTCAGTGTGGTGGTCTCAGGAACGGCTGTAGAGCTGGGGAAGGTGGTCTGACCTGTGCCTGAAGCCAGTGTTGAAGGTGGTTCCATCATTGTGGATGTAGTGAAAATGAGGTGGTGATTGGGTGGGTGATGGGGTGGATTCAGCTGTTGTGTGGAGTGTACTGGTGATGGCTGAGGTGAGATACTCTCTCTGTGTGAGTGGTCCAGGCACTGCTGATGGTGGCATGGAAGACTTAAAATGAATACGTCCCAGAGAAGGTCATCAGGAGGGAACTTGTCAGAGCGCTGTGTGTACTGGGAAGCTGGGCCTCCACCTGGGGAGGGTGGCAGCAGAGGCTCAAGCAAGGACAAAGGATGAGGTTTCCCTGTATTTTGGACAGTGAGATGAAAACGACGGTTGTTGGCCTGGCATACGTTGATACCGTGTACACTGAGGTGGCAGGTCTCACTTCATCCAGGTAATGAACCAGATGCCACAGATGAGGATAAGTTGTTGTGAGGTAGGGATACTTCTGTACTCAGAGTGATGGGATCATCATGGATGTAGAAGTCACCATGGCACTCAAGGTTGTGGGAACTGAGGATGGCAGTTGTATGTGCTGTCTGTGGAGTAGATGGTTGGAAGAAAGGAAGCTGGGAGGTACCATGTGAGGATCTTGGTGCAGTGGTGGTGGCTAAGCCAACAAGTTTCAGGTAGGAGTCACGTTTCTGCGGCTGAGACCAAGGGAGAGGGTGGAATAGAGGTGGCAGTGGGATGATGTCTCTGTCATAGTGGTGTGTGATGTGTGTGATTTCCAGTCGTGGTTTGTACCAGACCACCTCGGAGAATTAGGGACAGGTGGTCTCAGATGTGCCTACAGAGCAGAGTGGAGTGAAGAGTTTGTGGTGTGAAGGTAACAAGAGAAAGAAGGGATCAACGTTGTGACAACCGAAATGTTTTCCTGCAAAGCTGGGTTTTACAGGGGTAATATGTAGTCATGTCGGTCAGCGATGTAAAAATAATTGTAAAGAGACAGTGTAAGCTGTCACAGAAGTCACTGTATTTGTGGTGGAGCAATTGATGAAGTAATGGGAGAGTAAGTCACAGCTGTTAAATCAGAGATTCTGTGGACATGCCGCCAGAGTCAGTGTGGTGGTCTCGTGGGAATGTGGCTGCAGAGCTGGTGGGAAGGTGGTCTGACCTGTTCCCGTAGCCAAACTACAGTGGCTGAAGGTGGTTCCACAAAGGAAGTTGGAATGAGGTGGTGGTAGCGGGGGTACAGGGTGATTCCACTGTTGTGTGGAGTGGGTGGGCCTGGGTGATGGCTGAAGGTCAGGAGATACTTCCTGTGTGAGAGCGGTCCCAAGCACCACGTAAGTAGATGAAGGAAGGTTTAAAATAAATATGTTGCTGGAAGGTTGTCAGGAGGGAACTTGCTGGAGTGCTGTGTGTACTGCAAAGTTGGTGTCCCAAATTGAGAGGGTGCAAAGAGTCATGCTTGACAAACGGATGAGGTTTCTTAGTATTCGGATGCTGGGGAAGGAATAACACTTTTGCGGACATTGCTGAGAACTGGAAAAACAGTGAATGTCAATGTGGAGTCTGTTCCTGTAGTCGCAAAGCCAGTAGAGCCCACAGAAGGGTGAGTGATAATTGTTGGTGTTGTCGGGGTGGATGTCTGTAGTCAGAGAAGATGGGTCATGGTTGTGGAAGTCATTATGATGCCTGAGGAAGCGGAGAGAGATGGTGCAAAGGATGTGCCGGACTGTAGAGCAGATGGCTGAAGAAGAAGGTGATACTTCGTGGGGGAGGATCTGAGTAGTGGTGGCCGCCAAGTTTGTCAGCAGAGAGCTGTGTCTGTTTTCTGTGTTGGGAGGAGAGGAAGATGTGGGTGGTTGGTGTTCCATGGACAATGCACCTTCATACTTGTGGAGCAGGTGATTTTGGGTTGTGAGTCTATCACAAGTGCTGGTGTATAGAAGTGGTAGGGTAGGTGGCCTCAGATGTAGGTAGACCCAGATGGTAGTGGGGAGTGTGGTCACCAAGGTATAGAGGGAGTGGTGTTTGTGATACCACTGGTGATTGTTTCGTGCTCAGGACAGGTGGAAGATAAAATGGTACTGGGTGGGTGATGACAGTGTATTAGTGGCTGTGGGGTCGAGGTGGTTTAATATCAGCATATGGTGTCACTGTATCTGTGGAAGTGATTGAAGAAGGACGGGAAGTGGAAGCCACCGCAGTTTTGAGTAGTAAACTGGGGCTGGGGACATGTGGTCGGGCGGACGTTCTGGGTGGCAGGGGAGTCCTTTCTGAGACTTCAGTTGTAGAGGAGACCATAGCTGGGAAGGTTGTGTCTGTGGCTCTGGGACACAGAGAAAGTAGGGTGCTCACTGTCACTATGGGAGTTTGCAGTGGTAGAGGAAGAAGATGTCATGGTTGACGTTCCTTTCAGGCAGTGGTCATATCCTGGCATGGGTGGTCACTGGCTTCGTGTCACGGGAGGGGGTGTAAGAGCTGGTGAAGGCCACCCGCGCGTGGTCACAGATGGAGGTGGGATGGAGATGGTGATTGCAAAGCTCAAGTTGGATACATGCACTCAGTGGTGGCCGAGACCAACACAGTGGGTGGGAGTGGTTTCAACCTTGAAAGCAAACTTGACATCGGGTGGTTGAGGTGTTGGAACTGACTGAGAGGTGAGCAGTGTTTCAGAGATGAGTGTGTCATAGGAGGAGGTAACGAGCATCATAGGTACTGGCCAGGAGCAGGAGAGATGAGCTGGGGGACAATGGGAAAGGGCTGCCCCAGCCGCCCTGAGTGTGGCACCTCGCTGAGCACAGCGCGCCAAGCTCCGCCCTGGGGAAACCATGTGAGAGATGGATGTGGCCGTAGATACAGTTCCTGCATTGGCAGTAGAGCAGAGGAATCCACCGGTAAGTCCTGTGGGTCACGGTCACATCACCGCCAGAAGTTACCACCACCCCATTTTCCAGGCAGCATCACAGAGGGCAGGGGGCATGCCGCAGCTCACCCTCCTGCATCAGAGGCTTGGGAGCTGGGTGCTTTGTGGTGCTGGAGCCCACTGCCTGTCTGCCAGGTTCCTAGGAGCAGTGGGGCATGGGAGTTGCTCATTCACCCGGCCTGGTTCTCAGGTTTCCGCCGTAGTCCTCCTGTCCTGGGATAGCCGTTGCTGCAGAGCAAGTCCCTTCTTCCCCTCCTCTGGCCACACCCAGCCCCTCCTCCCTCTGCCCCTTCCTGTCCTCCCCCGTGTTGCTGCTTTATCCTCCCACTTCCTCCATTAACCTTCTGCTCCCCCACCGTGGCTTTCCTCGCACCTGCTGCTGTTCGGCTGTGAATTTCTGCTTTCAAAGAGAAAAAGAGAGAATATAGCTAAACTTAGCAGGGACACATCACAAACCATGAGACAGAGAAAGCTGCACAAAGAGGGCCAGGCGCAGTGGCTCATGCCTGTAATCCCAGCATTTTGGGAGCCCAAAGCAGGTGATCACCTGAGGTCAGGAGTTCCAGACCAGTCTGGCCAACACGGTGAAACCCCTCTATCCCAATTGAAAATGCTAGCCAGGTGTGTGTGCACGTAGCTGAGGCAGAAGAATTCCGCATGAACTTGGGGCGCAGAGGCTACAGGAGCCAAAGGTCGCACCACTGCACTACACAGCCTGCAAAGCCGACAGAGCAAGACCATCCAATTAACCCCAAAGACAGCCATCAAGGAGAGAAACAGAGCAAGCTCACACGCCAATACTTCAAGGCATGGAGGAGGCAGTGACCATGGGAGAGTGGAGGCATGGATGAGAAGGAAACTGCAGCGAGCCACCAAGCAATCATGTGATGCAGAGTCTGTAGAGAGACCTAAGGCTAGGAGTGTTCAATACAAAATAGACATATTTTTCTATAACTATTCCAGAGCTTGGCCAGCAGGTATTAGTTTACAAACATGAACCCCAGCTGATTTCCTGAACTCCATTTCACAGATGAGGACGATCAGAGATCCCGCTGTGTTAGGCAGTCGCTATAAAGTGAAGATGGGCAGCCACAGCAGAGACGGGAAGTGGAAAATACTGGACCTTGCTACCCTCACCTCTTCTGTGGCGGCACACAGCCCACTTTGTGGTTGAGAGCTGGGGTGTCGTGTCTCAGCCTAGCTCAAGGGTGTGCCGTGGAAGTGTGGGCTCAGGAATTATGTGAGAAGCCCCAAGTTACAGGCACCACTTGGGACCCTGGTGTGATGCCCCGGGAGGCACTGAGAAGGGAGAACTCATGGCCTCTGGGGTCAGGGACTGAGGCAGACACTGGAGTGGAAACAAGCACAAGAGAAGTACAGAGAATTGTGTGTTTCTTGTGTGCAGAAGAGAGAGAAGCCTGGGACCCCATGCCAGGTAGTCTCAGACGCACCTCCTGAAGCAGTGGACTTCAGAAGCTTCCCGTTTCTGGGTCCCAGGACAATAGCTGTGTGCCCAGACACAAGGCCCCGGCTGTGAGAGCATGGCCAGCTGAGCTGGGAGGTGAGCCATGGGGGACAAAAAGGCAAAAGAGGCTGAAACTGGGAAGTCTGAAACCAGGAGCAGAGGTCAAAGGGGTCTCGGAGGGAGAGAGGCCAGTTTGAGGGGCACTGGGGCTGTGGGGCGAGCCGGGGGTGACAAGAAGGAGCCGCAGGAAGTACTGCTCTTGGAAGACGTAATTCCCACACCCACCATCCTCGCTGCAGACAGGCTGCGGGAAGGCCCCCTAAACTGTTCTTCAGTGCTTGGGTGGAGAGGCGGCGCGACCCAGCTCCCCGGCCTTTCTCGACCTCCGTTTTCCCTCTACCAAACCCTTCCTCATCTCAAAGCCATGCCTCTCGCTCTCCCTGCACCCAGAGCTGAGAGCAGCCCCTCCTCAGCCCCCTCGCGCTTCCGCAGGCCTCAGAGCCACCTTCTCCTCCACTCCCCTGAAACATAACATCAGGAGCTTCTTCCAGTCCCCCCTCCCGCCTCCTCACTCTGCCTGTGGTGGCCCCTCAGGAGCCCACCCGGTGAGGAGGCTGCGAGGAGCCCCCAGCAGCTGCATTGACCCAGCAGAGGCGGGCAGAGCAGGTTCCAGGCTGGGGTAGACAGCGGCAGGGACCTGGCTGTGCTTGCATTAGAGGAAAGGCTTAACATTCTATCTCCAAACAGTCCTCCACCTTGCACCGCCCCCACCTCACCCCTCTTTCCTTCCTTCTCCTGCACCTGGATGACGTCAGTGCTGTGGGAAGCAGGGACACGAGGGAAAAGGACAAATCCAGGAGGTGTCAGGCAGGGAGACAGGGCTCAGCCCCACAGCCTGCCTGGGCCCCATGTGAGCTGCCTGAAACTGCCTCCTTCCTCCCCCACGCCCATGGAGGGAATGACCCAAGGGCTTGACCTTAGAGTTTGGGCCGCTCCCTGCAGCCTCCAGTTTCAATTCCTCCCTGCTGGAGACGGCACCTCGGCCTCTCCTTCTCAAGTCTGCTCTGTCCCTTAACCTGCCCCCGGCTCCATCCTGCCCCCCGGCCAGATCCTGCGCTGTGGTACAGACAAAAACTACCAGAGAGCAATTAACACAGAATTCCCGTCTGAAGTCATTTTATTATCTGAAGAGTTGGGGCTAGGGTTCAGAAAAGGAAACATGGATGACCAAAGGAAACACTCAAAAAATACTTCTCAGCCTGGGCAGAGAGGTGCTCACGCCTGTAATCTCAGCACTTTGGGAGGCCAAGGTGGATCACTTGAGGTCAGGAGTTTGGGAGACCAGGAAGCTGGGCAACAGAAGTGGCAAAACCCCATCTCTACTAGAAATACAAAAATTAAGGTCTGGCATGGTGGCGGTGCTCTGTCGTCCCAGCTACTCGGAGACAGGCAGGAATAACGTGCTGAACCCAGGAGGCAGAAGTTGTAGTGAGCCAAGATCACACCACCGATTTTACCCTGAGCAACAGAGCAAGACTCCATCTCAAAAAAAAACAAAACAAAAAAAAAACAAAACAAAAAAACACTAGTTTGGACCTAGCACATTGTTTGACCTTCCTAGGTGGCAAACTATTATTAAAGATTGTGGAGTCTATCCAGTTTGGGCAAAGGTATGAAGAATAGATGTTCGCCTGTGATGGTGGGTTTGACAGGTGGTTGGTTTGCTTTGGGTGAAGGGTAATTTGAGGCTGGGCGCAAATGCTGCAATCACTTTGGGAGGCCAAGGCGGCAGATCACTTGAGGTCAGAGTTTGAGACCAGGCTGGTCGTGGTGAAACCCCAGTTTCTACTAAAAATGCAAAACTTCCTAGCCAGGCTTGGTACATCTGTAATCCCAGCCACCGGGGGACTACATGTGGGCAAGAGAATCGCTTTTTGAGACAGAGTCTCACTCTGTCATCCAGGTTGGAGTACAGATATGATCTCGGCTCACTGCAACCTCTGGGCTTCCAGTTCAAGTGATTCCCTCCCGGCCTCCAGCCTCCCGAGTAGCTGGGATTACAGGTGTGTGCCGCCATGTTCAGCAATTTTTTTTTTTTTTTTTTTGTTTCTCTTTTGCTAGAGAGCAGGTTTTGCCAGTCGGTCATTGGTCCTCGAAATCCCGGGTTTCAAGCATACACCGCTCCAGTTCACCCGGCAAAGTGCTGGGATGACAGGGTATAAGCCACCACGCCCGGCCTCCAGCATCTAGCTTGATCTAGCTCTGCAGCCTCTGGGTACTCCAGTGCACACACTGAGAACTGGTGAGGTTTTGGAGAAGCAGTAGAACATGAGGGAAGACTACCCTGGGAGAAGGCAGGTGGTGGCTTCCACTGCTCTGCAGGGGAGCGGCGGCTGAAACGTTCCTTGCAGTGGACATAAAAGGATTGAGCGTGATGTTTGCTGGGGAGAGAGTGTGCAGGTGTACTGTAGGTGACAAGAGCAGTGCAAGACAAGCTGAGATGTTTGTTTATTTATTTATTTATTTGAGATGAGTCTTGCTCTGTCACCCAGGCTGAGTCGTGGATATGATCACAAAGGGAAGTTCACTGCAGCCTCCACCTCCCAGGTTGCAGCAATTCTCCTGCCTCAGCCTCCCAAATAGCTGTGGATTACACCACACACCACCTCATGCCCAGCCATTTTTTGCATTTTTAGTAGAGGCATAGGGAGGGCTTTTCACCCGTTTGGCCAGGCTGGTCTCAAACTCCTGATCTCGGTGATCCACACCCTCTTGGCCTCTCCACAGTGCTGGGGATTAAGCAGGCATGAGCTACCATCAAAGCGCTATAAGCTGAGTTTGGGCTTAGACATCAGAGGAACCTCTGTGGTGGGCTGCAGAGTAGCTCCGAAATGCCCTGTAGGGCAGATCAGCTGGCCAGAGAGGCCATTGAGAGGCACCAAAGCCATCTGGGGAGGAGACTTTGGAGGCTGTCCAGCTGAACCCAACTCCCCTGGAAATGGGGCTCCAAGTTGATGGTTGGCTGAGGCACCCCGAGACAACGTCCAGGAGGCAAAGCACTGGAGGAGAGGGGCTCCTTTTTGCTGGATGACAGGGGGCTTCAGTTGAGTCTGTTGAGTTTGGGGGTGAGATGGTAGAGGTTTCTGGGTGGAGCTGTCCTGAGGCCTCTTGGGAGTCTCTTCAGAAGAGGGCTTCCGGGATGGGTCCACTGCCATTGCCCCAGCCCCTGCTATGCCGAGGCAAAAATGGGTGCTCACCATGCACCAAAACAGCCGCACCTTGGTCTTGAAGCTTTTTCTGCAGCCTTCAGCTCGTAGAAAGTCAGTTTCTATTTTTTTTTTTTTTTAAAGATGGAAGTCTCTGCTCTCTAAGCTGCCCAGGCCTCGCCTCGAAATTTCCCGGCTAAGCTATCCTCCTCATTCCTCAACCACCCAAAGCTGTGGATTACAGGTACGACGACCGTGACCGCCAATATCTATTGCTTAAGCCATTCAGCCCTATGGTCTCTGCTATGGTAAGCTCCAAGCTGATCAAGACAGCTGCCTTCAAGATTTTCTCTTCATCACGGGTGCAGTGGTGTTGTTCTCAAGTGCCCCTAAAATCCCAGTGCTTTGGGAGGCCCCCGCCTGGGCAATTGTCAGACACCCCATCTCTAAAAAAAAAAAAAAAAAGGTGTCGGCCGACAGCCGCTGCTAACTGCCATGGCTCCCATTCTGTTCTGCTACTCACCCAGCTTCCCAAAGCCGCCTCCTGGGAGTAGTGCTCCGATAGAAAAAGGCCCGGAGTTGAGAGTTGCCGCCTCGCCTGGTGGATGCAGCCTGAAAGAGCCGGCGGCCCTTCTGAGCGCCCTAGCGGTGGCGCACCCGCCTTCCCCGTGGGGCAGAGGCGTGTGGCGGGGTGGCCCGGCCGCTGCCCGGAGGAACCCGCCTGGGACAAACCGGTCCACCGCGGCCCGCCGCCGAGCTTCCCCTCGATTTGGCCGGCTCAAGTGAGCAGACGTAAGAGGTGAGCGTGGGGCCCAGTTTCTAGATTCTACCAAGAAACATTTCGTTATGGAAGAGAAGGTCCCTGAAAAAGAACAACTGTTACTGAATTACCCCAGACTTTTGCATGTATCGTTTCTCCGAGTCTTGATATATTCCGTCTCTCAGAAAATGACTACAGGGACTGGCATTAAAACCCGATCAAGCTTCACCTGTTCTCAAATCTCTTTACTTCCGGGCAGATCATTTGAAAGCACAGGAAGAGTCACATGGTCCAGCACAGGTGGGGCGGGGAAGTTACTTTGCCTAAAAAGTATACAGGATCCCAAACTCTCCACTGAGTCTGTGCCTAAGTAGCAGAGCCTTTATCTATTGGGCCCAATCTCCCCGTTTTAATTTGGCTTTCACCACTGTTCCCTGTATTGGAGTCAATAGAAAATGTGGCTGGAAAGACAAGTCCTCCGTCAAACGATGCAAACTGCAGCATGTGTTGTTTAATGAGTGACTGATCCGTGAGCTTTTACTTGAATATATAATTTGCTTGTAGCACACAAAAAACTTTGCCCCTATTTCTACTGGCATGCTTGTACCATCAAGAAGCTTAATGTCCTGTTCTGTGGAGCAGCAGGATTGCTTTCGGGAAGTGACTTCATCACAGCTCTCTGCTTACTTCCTGCCAACCCTGAGGCTTCAGAGAAGCCGCTAGAGAAATTAGTTGGGTATTGGGAACTTATTTTAATAAAAGAAAGTGGCCTTAAAGCAGGTTGAGACATCTGGGAACAAAGCTTGGGATATGGGGGAGCACTTGAAGTGGTCATGGAAAGACACAAGCCTTCCTAGACACAGAGACTGCCACTGGAGATTACATGTCCTGGCCTCCATGCCCTGGCCTCCCTCTGCAACCAAATGACGGCGCCACTCCAATCTTCACACAGAGTGGTGGGGTCTTCTCTGCAGTGATGTCTACATCCACAATTTTCAGCCAACTGCTGTGCTTAACATCTGCCTGCCAGTGGACAAAAGTACTTGATAGTAGAGGAAGTTGTTCATGTAAGGAGCTTACTAACTGTGGTTTGTGGACCTCAACACTGTGGAGCAACTTAGTCAACACATTACTTAAAATCAGCTTAATATAGAATGTGAAAGCCATAAAAGGAGAGATTACATTTATACTTGAGATCCTGAACACCAGTAAGCCTAAAAGGAATCTTAAGGAAAAAAAGCCTTCTAGCAAGGAAATTCAAGAGTTCTTTTTGAAGTTGAAGAATATACTGACATGTTTATAAACATAACTTTTATTACAGTAGCATCTAAGGTTTTAAACTCTCAGTGTTTTCAAGCTTTTACCATTTTCAGATTAGATTTTGGAAGATGTTAGATGAAAACCTAAGATAACTCAAATGAGCTATCTGTGTCCCTTGCCAAACCCAATTGTATATTCAGTAGAAATGGAATTGGGACAGCTTCCTTGTAAATGGAAATCACATACAGTTACTTCAGATTGTGACTAATGGCATCATAAAATATGTTACTTACCATTTACCTAAGATTGTTAGCAGGGTTCTCTGTTCCATAAAGGTAGAAAATAAAATATAGATAACATCTACTGAGCTAGCTGATTGGTGATGCTTCTACCTTAATATCTCTCTTCCTCACTGATTTATAATTCCCTTTATTTTCACATATACTAAAACTTCTAATGCATGTGTTGGGAATTCAGATAAAAAGGCATTTCTTTTGTATCTCACATATAGAATAGTGTTAAGAATTGCAGTGAAGTACAATGAAATGTCAGCTTGGGCAGCAGTATCAAATGTGCTATAGTGTGTATGTG